TATTCATAAATTTCGCCTCCAAATAAAATAATCAATCGATAAAATCAAACTTTTTGACTCAGCTTTTGTGGATAGTAGATTTTTCACTTTTGAACAATTGCAAAAAGCTATAATCACTCTGAGAAACGTCAATAAAATTAATGAAATTTGAAAATGTCCCATTCAATAGTCAGAATGCATACATATACATGATGTTCTCCGAGAATTCATTTAAGGTTTATATTTCCGTTTTCGACCTCGATGCTAACCAGATACGATCCATTTCCATAAAAGTTGAGTCCCTCAAGGTTCACATCTGGGTCCATTAATGTTTCTAGTATTTATAAATGATTTGAAAGATTTCTTCAAGCATCCACAAGTATTATTATATGCTGATGACGTAAACATCTTCAGAAAAGTAGCGACGATTAGAGATTGCTCGAAGATTCAGGAAGACCTCAATACTTTTTTAGGATACTGTTACCTCGATAAATTGAAACTCAATAATAATAAGTTGCAGAAACAACATACCTATACATTTTCAATACTCCCTGGGTAATAATATTATTAAGAGAATAGACTAAATCAAAGATCTTGGAATCTATTTTGATACAAAAATGACTTTCAATTCCCATTTGGATTATGTAATAAATTCCTGCAACAAACCCTTGGGATTTTTCTGCAGAATATGCAAAGACTTCAACAACGAGGCAGTAATCAAATCTATTAAATATGCATTTGTTTATAGTAAACTCAATTTAGAAAGTGTCATATGGAGCCCACATTACTCCAAAACAGATTTGTAAGGTTCTTGCATTTCAAAATAACGAAGACTTATGTAACACTTAACATTAGCAAAATTTGATCTCACTACAAAATACAGCTTCTAGAACAACGAAGAATAATAACCGACTTAGTTTTTATTAATAAAATTATAACAAAATGTTATGACTCACCCAATCTACTACGAGTATCAATGATTTTTATCACTTTTTTGAAAAGGAAGTTTTTGCTACTACTCCATCTTGATACAAAAAAATGTGAGAATCTTCCAAAGAAAGGAAGGAAGTAATCAATTTTGAAATAAGTAAATCTATACATAAATTTGTAGATCATGCAAAGAAGCAACTTTCAGACACAAACTGGAAGGAAGCCCTCCTGAATTATTCAGAAGATACTTTTCTCGACCCAATTTGTATTCCAAACATTCGTTGTGGAATAAAATCAGATATAATTCACATGAGTTCTACTTTAAATGAAAGGTAACAAATTGCACTTACATGGAACACTGTCATCCTCATTGGTAGACATCGATGTTTCGCCGTAAGACCCTAGGGCTCTTCAGTGTATCTCTGTAACCACTACTATCAGTGGATGCTTCTATGGGTATTCACCTATTTGTATCCCAAATTTTGAATAAATAAATAAATTTTTCATCATCATGAAGCGAATGATCGTGTAAAATCGTTCAAGGCTACCTCCCCGAATGAAACATACAATCTATTAACGACCAAAAATAAACAGTGAAATATTACGTGTGATCCCATGGGTAGGTCATCAATCCATCAAATAGTAATATGGGTATCCACTCCTTTTAACCTTGACTTTCTATTTTTTATAAGCAGCCAATGAGCGCACGCTCCCTTTTGTGACACCGGCATATCGATAATATCTCTTTAATAAATGAAAGCCTTTCGAACGAAGTGGATGCTAGTGAGAAACAATCACCCCAGTCGTAGACCCCTTCAGTCGCGTTACTTTTCATTGTGGCGAGTTTCATTTGAAATCAGGGATTGTTCGCATGATTCAGGTAAACCACTATCTGATAATATAAATTATTAGACTTTGTTGTTCAAATAAATATTCTCATCAGTGAAGCATATACTAATAATAATAAATATTCATCCAATTCTA